TCTAATTAATTAATTAATTAATTAATTAATTATTTAATTTAACTCTAAAAAAATAACTAGCTATAAAATATTTTTATTTTTATACAAATTTTTATATTTATAAGAGTTATTATAAAGTGATCATGTTTTTATTAATAAATTAAAATATTTATTTAAATTACTGTTCAAAATTTACTCATTCAAGTAAAATATATAAAAAAGTTCAAAATTAAATTTTGATTCACTTTGATTAATTAATTAATTTGTAATTAGCAAATAAAGCTTGCTTACTTAAACTTTTGATTATTACTAACAAAACCTCAAAAATTATTTGGTAAAAGAGTTAAATTAATTGAATTAACAATTATTTTTTTTTTTTTGGTAAGTATTATAGTTTACTGAAACAATTATTAGAAAATTACTTTTAATCAAATCTATAATAGATAGAATTCTTTGGGTTAATTTTTAAATAATCTTCATCCTATATCTTCTGAATCAATTCTTTAAGATATTTTTTTTTACTATTTTTAGTCTCTTCATTTTCTTTAAACCTATCATTATCAATACTTTTTTAATTAAAATAAAAGAGTTATTTTTGACCTTTTAAAGTCAATAGAAAAAATAAAATTGAAACTACTTTAAATCAAATTTTAATGAATTAAGTCCTCTACATTGACTAGCTAAAGCATAAAAATCGTAAATAGACGTTAGATTGTTCTATATCCTATATAATATTAAATGTAATTTCATTGAATTTAAATTTTAAGTATTTATTAAAATCAGCTTAAATTTATTACTATTGTTTATGGTTTAATTAAACAATATCATGGTTTTTTATTAAAATAGGTTTGACGATAATATAAGTACCATAATTATTAATTTTTTTATCATTTCATTTAAAATAATTTTAAATAGTTAAGTTGTTAATTTAAGAATGAAAAATAATATTAATTTATTATTTTGTCTTGAAAAAGTGAGTTAAATTGTAAATAATTTACTACTAAATAAATATTAAATAATTTACCACCCTAATTTAACATTTAATTCAGTAATTCTTGGGAACATCTCATTAAAATCATAAAATTTTGTTTATAAATATCCATTTATTTTGTGTCGTAACTCAGATTGTTATTCACTATTCATAAACCTACTGGTTCTTTTTAATATTTAATAAAAAATAGCTAAAATAAAAGAAAATATTTTATTGTTATTTAAAGAAGAAAAAATAAATTCTTAAATGAATTCATTATATTATTTTTAATTTAAACTTTCATTTAAAAATTTTATGATAAATAAAATAAATAAAAATTTTTTCTATTTATTAAAATAAATTTAAAATGTTGGCAGAATAATAATTGTAAAATATCACGTCTAAGATAATAATAATTCTTTTAAAATTAAATTTAAAATTATAAATTATTATCAGTGATCAATTATTTTTAAATAGCAAATTGATATAGCCAGAAATTAATAATATAGATGATTAAATAAAAAATAATTAAAAAAATTATTAAATCATTTTATATTATAAAAATTTATATAATTTCATAATAATTTAGACAACTAATATTTACCAAATTTAAAAAATCTATCAAATATTTTAAATACATAAAATCATATTGATTTTATTTATTTACAAATGAAGAAAAGTAAAAATATGATTTAGAATAAAAATTAGATAACTATCTAATTTAATAAAATTAATTACCTAAAATCAAGTGTTAATTCAGTGTTTTTATTTATAATATTACTTACCTTAAGCCATTCAAAATAAAAATTCAATTATTATTCATAATCTAATTTGAATTAGAAAGCCTGTACTTTTCTCAAATTTGATCTAAGAAAAATAAATTATGGATCATTTAATAAGCTAAAATTAAAAAACTTACTATGATATTTTATTTAATAAAATAAAATAATTTAATAAATATGTCTTTGAGCAATTAATAAATAATAAAAAATTTATCATAAAAATTATTTAATTTTTAGTGTTATTTAAAATATAAAAAATATGAAGAATTTTAAAAAATATTAAATTTATAAAATTTAATTAATTATTGAATTAAATTAACCAAATAATTTTACGATATTCTTAAAGTTAAAGATCCTTCCTTCTCAAATTAATAGCTAAATTCATTTTTATCTTTACCTAATATTTCAATATTCAAATTCGTAATTTCTTCATTCTTTTAATGAAAGCTTTATTTTAATTTAATAATAACTAAAATTAAATATTGACAAACAAAAATTAATTAAAATAAATAAATTTAAATTTCTTTTTTAGCAAAACAATTTTAATTAAAATAATTACTTATTTATATTTTATTATAATATATTATAACAATTGAGTTAAGAATTAAATGATTCAACTTCTTCATTGAATTTTTCCAAAGAACCTAAATAATTTAGACTTATTTCTTTGCTTTCAAAGTATGTTATGAAATTAAGTGAGCTCATTGTTTGTTTTTGATTTTAAGATATCTCAATATTTGGTTAATATTTATTTTCTTTGTAATTCTTAAAAATTGTTTTTTCAATAAGATTTATTGATTAAATTATATGTTCTTCTTTGTATCTTTTTACACATTATTCATTAAAAAACTAATAATTTTTTTCTTTTTTATTTAGATACTTTTCATAGTAATTAAGATTTTTGTAATAAACATATTCTTTATATGGCAATTAGTTATTATCTTTTATTTCATTTATATATTTTTTTTCTAAATTATCTAAAATATCCTTGCATTAATCAAAGATACAAATATTTTATAGCTTTATAAATATTGAATATAATTACCAAATGCTTTTATCAAATTAAATTTATAAATTTGATTTTAGCTTAATGTCATTCAAGCAATTCAAAATAATTAATGGCAAGAGTTAAATTTCTTTTTTATATTTATCATAAAATTTTGTGTCTAGCTATTCATTTTAAAAAAGAAATTTGTAAAGATATAAGCCCATTTCTTTCAGTAATTTTTATTTGTAATAAGAAATCTGATTCGTTTTATTTTGTTGAATAAATTAAATTAAATTGTAAAGAGATTTGTCATAACAATTTTATTTTCTTAAATACCTAATCAATTTAATAATTATCCTATAAACCATATCAAACTCATTGTTTTCAACTTATTTTTTTAGAGAATTATAAAAATCTGTAAAAATTGGATGTATTTAATCTGATTTTAGCAATAGAAGCTCTATTATCTTTATTTTTAATTTATCAAATTCTTCACCTTTATTAACTAATTTAATTAATTTAATCAATTTATATTAATTTTTTTAAGATAATTTTATCTTATTATTTAGCTTTATTAAGATCTTAGTTACAACTCTAATTGATTTTATTAGGATTTCTGACTAACTACTATTTTTAAAATCTTCTCTAAAAATTTCATTAATACATTTGAGAGATTTTTTATATTATTTTCTTTTACATAAAATATAACTTTTAGTTATCAGTGCCTTAATTTTAATTGAAGTTAACTAACTCTGCTAATTGCTAACTTAAATTATCTATGAAATAATGAAAATAGCTATTTCAGCATATTAATATTATGATTCATACTGAAATACTTTATTTTCTTTTTTTATGACTAAATATTATTATATCTATTCTAAATATTCCACTAAGAATTCCTTAATTACTTAATAATTAGTAAATTTCATTATTTTATTTATAAACATTCTTGGCAACTTAAGGCAATCTACATTAATAGAATTTTCATCATCTTTACAAATTTTTTCATCTATAAATTTATTTAAACAATCATAAATTTAAATATCTGGGCGATTTTCTAATTATGGAGGAAATAACTATTTGATAGTTTTACCAAAAGAATAGATATCATGATAAAAAGGTAAATTCTTCACTCTATCTTATGGCTTAAAACCAGGTGTATGCATTTAATAATCACAAAAAGGATCAATAAAATCAACTTACTATGAAGCACCAAAATCAGATAATTTGTAATTATTATTATAAGTTTTTAAGATATTTCCTGGTTTAATATCTGAATGATAGATATACTTTTATCTAAGTACAATCAATAAATGAAATGCAGTAGAAATAAATTTTAAAGTTTCTTTAAGATTAAAAACTTTTGATTATATTTCATCATGAAGACTCATTTAACATTTTTACATAACATGAATGATATATTTAGTATCTTTATCTTTATTTTCTATTAGATGAGAACTATTTATATTTAAAATGTTTTATTCTTATAATTCCTAAAGTATTAACAATTCTTATTTCCTTAAATCCTCGTCTCCATTTAATTTAATTACTCTAAATACAGTCTTGTCATCATTTTGATTTGTAAATATATCTGCCTCCCCTCCACCGCCGATATGATCGCCTAATTTAAAGATTTATTTTAAAAATTGCTCAGAATGATTATCAAGATTTTTTTTTTTTGGTTTATTTGGTTAGTTTTTTTTACATTTTTCATTTTATTCATTGTTACCAAAAATATTTATGGGGAGGGGTACACATCTCTCAACACCTTCTTATCCAAATTAAGGAGATTTATATGATTCAGAAATGACAATAGCTTAGTCTGATGACTGAAGAGTTGTTTATTAGGTAATTGTAGTGCTTTAAGGCTATTTTCCCTTTTATTCATCTAAAATTTATTATTCTTCCATTTTGAAACTTTAATCATATTTTTGGATTATTTCTATATAATTGGGCAAATTATTAAAAAATTATACTAGTACCTTATTTATTACATTTTCTGCTTATTGAGTATTAGAATAATTTTGTTCATTTTCATTTTCATTTTCATTTTCATTTTCATTAAATTCAACTTTAATCTCCTCTTCATTTGTATTTATTAATGAGCTAATTTTTTTTCTATTATTCTTAGGGATTGTTTAATTACTATCAAGATTTTTACTACCTCCAAATAATTATGATTTGTTTTTTTTAGATATTTCATTTTCTTTTTACAAAATTTTAATAATTCTTGCTTTTTATCCAATTAAAAGAGAATTTCTTAACTGATTTAGTTTTGGTTAGGATAATTTATTTATGATGTCCTTATTTTGTTGAATGATTAATTTAGTATCATCGTCATTATTAAATGGTTATTATTAATCAAAGGAGAATTATAAATTAATTTTAGAAACTGCCTTACAACTAACTTATCTCGCTGCTTTAAGAAAACTAAAGATTTTAAAAAAATTTGAAAATAAATACAATAAAATATAAGTTTGAATAATATTTATTTTTATGCTGTATATTAATTATTGGATTTTTATTTAATTATCCTCAGTTTATTTATTTAAAATTTAAGTTGATTTAATTTAGTTAAAATAAAAGTTTTTTGTTGAAATAATTAGTTTAAGTTGAGGATTTACTTGTAATCCAAATATTATTTATTAAAAATAAATTTTAACTTTTCTATTTAAATTAAAATTATAGTTATATTGCTAATTTAATTAATTAAATAAAAATATATTGATTGATTTGTAAATTGTTTTTTCTATTATTATAGAAACTTTGATTATCTATCATGCATATATCTATCGGTAGAAATAAGTTATATTTAAAAATACTCAATATTGAAAAAAATTATCCTAAATACTCAAAAACTTTATATGAATTTTAAAAAGTATATACCGTGCATTCTAATTAATTAAGGCCATATGATCAAAATAATTTTTTTATCAAAAATGGTCTTAAAAAAAAAAATTTTCAAAAATTATTATTTTGAAATAAACTGATAGAATCATCCATTTTAAGGTAAATATTTCAAATAATTAATTTAAAGTAAAAATATTAAAATATTTTGAAAATTATTTGATATTTAAAAATTAGAAAAACATTTTTGATTTAATTAATATGTTAGAAGTTTAAAACAATTTACCAATAACTATTTTAATAGTTTAATTTGACATTCTCTTTTAAAATTTCATGTGCTAGATCCAGACTATTTTTCATTTTCAAGAGTTTTATTTAGTATTGGTCTTCTTTCTTTTAGTATGGTGAGAAATAATAGTTTTAACTGGTAAGGGATAGCTATAATTATGCTGATGATGCTTTATACTATTTATTATTTAGCTAATTATTAATATAAATATAATTTGAATTAAAAATTATTTCTTTGCAAAATATTAAAAATATATTGTGTTTGAAAACCTAAATAGTCTTTTAACAACTAGTTCGTAAATCTATTTAGACGATTATTTGTTTAAAATATATTTAAAATGATAAAAGAATTACATCCTTAGCTTAAAAGCTATTTATTCTGCTTTGGAGAAAGGGTAAGCCTAAATCAACTTTTAATAAAAATGAAAATATTAATTATATAAAAAGCCTATTTTTTAATATTTAAAATTTGATATAAATCATAATGTTGCTTATGCTTGATAATAATTAGCTTAAAAATAATTCATGTAATAAATTATTTATTTATTTTGATATTTATATTAAAACAGATCAACTTTTTCATTTATATTGAATCCTATTTGTGAAATTTAATGAATTTCACTCTTTAATATATATAAAGAGCACCCCCCAAAAAACGTTGGGGCAAACAAAAAGAATATTGAGTTTTGCCCATAATATTTATTTGGGGAGGTAAATTGATATGATTGCCAAGTTTTTTTTGATTGTTTTTATTTAATAAAGAATTTTAAATGATTAAATGAATATTAACTATATAATTTAATTAAGTAATCAGCTTTAATAAGAAACAAAAGATATGTGATAAAAGCGTATTTTTTTAATATGATAAAATCAAAATAAACAACAGAATATGTAGAAATTTTACTCTTGCAAAGCTTAATTTTAGTTAAATGAGTAATTCCTTCTGCTAGTTTGTTAGGTTAAACTTTTAATTGAGGCATTAACAGCATTAATTGCAATATCATTTTAGGATTGTTTAACATCTCTGATGATTATATTATCTTGAAAAATTAATCCTTATCGTTGCAAGATTAAAAATGGAAGGAGCTCATTTAATCTGAGTGGGCTTAAGTTTATAGCATTTTATAAATCAATTCATATTTGATTGCTATCTGCTCTAATGTTATTGTTTTATCAACTAAAATTTTGAGAATATTGAAAAACTAATTTGGAATATTCTCAATAATCATTTTTTCTTCAATGATCTTATTTCTGTTTACAAATTTTACAAGATCTACTTTGAGAATTACTTTAAAGCTTATTCTTTTTTAATTATTCTATGCCTAAATAAACTTTTCTGCTATTTTTTATTTAATTCAACTAAATAAGACAACTTTTGTTTAACTATTTATCTACTTTTCTACTAACGCTATTTGTTATATGAAGAAAAATTAATATCCAAACTTCTTTTTTAATATAATATTACAGGTAGTTCTCTTAATTAAAATCAATGTAAGTAATCACATAAATTTCTGATTTTATTTTGATTTTCTTCCACTGAAAACTCAACACAAAAAAATATAAGCAATACTTTTTTTTGACAACAATCATATTAATTATACTAAATGTATAATAGAGTTAATAAAAATCATAACAAAAGTAGATTAAAAAATATTAGATTTCTAGTTTTCTAAACTAAAAATAAATTTAAATATTTGTTAAATATATATGCTTTTAAATATTAATTTATTTAGCTTAATTATATTGAATTTTTAAAACAAAAAATAAATATGAAATAAGCAAAGAATTAAAAAAATAAATGGTTTTGTAAATTAAATACTTTTGAATGTTAAATATAGCTAAATTATATGGATAATTAAAAATTATCAATTATTAGCTAATTAATATATCTATCGATAAGTTTTTTTCAAATATAATCGGATTTCTGCATTAATCTCTCTTGTTGGTTTTAGCAACTTCCATTTTCATTTAAAACTTTTTAATTCTTCATTCATAAATTTAATTTCTTCTATTTTAATATAAAAATTATTTTGTCTTTTTACTTAAAAAAGCAATTATATGAAATTAAAAAAATGACTATAAATACAAAATCTTTGATAAAGTAACCTAATCTTATTATTTAGACGTATTTTATTATTTATTATAAAATTTTTTATAATTAAAAAATAGTATAAAGAATAAAATTAACTCTTTTACCTAATGTCTAAAGATAAATTTTAAGGATTATGCACTTCTTTAAAGCAGAGCTTAAATCTAATACATATACCCATATTGCCAATCTTATTATTGTTTTTAAAATAATTAAAATAAATTTTTCAATTATATAAAAAATAAATAAGTAAGAAGGATTCTTTTCAAAAAATAAGCTATAAAAATAATAAATTTTCATTAAACACTCAATAATTATTAATATTTATCAAATAAGTAAGCTAACTAAATAAAAATTAATTTTTATAAGGTTTTTGAAAAATATTTTAATATTGATAAATAAATTAATGAATAAAAGCAATTATTATTACCTTAGCTAGAGAAAGAACCCCAATACTACAAGTATATTAGTTAGGCAAAAGACTTAAGTTTAAAGTTTGTAAAGGTAGGAGAGATATGAAGAGAAATCAGTTACCATATTTGATACACAATTGTTATCAAATTAGTAATAACTTGAATTATTTTTGGAAAAATAAATTAAAAACAGTATTAATTTAGTAAATAGTTAGTTCCAATCAACTTAATAAAATATTAGCTTTATTTATTAAATATTTTGATAAACTTATTTTAAATATAGATAATTAATTATAATACAAATAAATAATTATTAATTGGTTATATATAGAATACTTACTTTATGAATATAATATAAATTAAAATAAATACAGGGTGTCCCATAAATAATTAGTAAAAAACTAAAATTTTACAGGGGATAGAAGTTTAATATTTTGCAAGTTGCTGTATTTTTATAAGAATTTATTTTATTTAATTTTTAAGACTAGACAAGCTTTTTTAATTAATTAACTCTCTCACAAAAAAATATAAGTTAGAAATTATAAGGAAGAAGATTCAACAAAGCATAAAAAATATTTTTTATATAATTATTAAAATATTTGTCTATTATAAAATTTCAAATAAATTAATATATATTTGTTGTCTTTTTGAAAAATTTCATCATTCAAAGGAAAATGAGTAATCTGATCTATAACCATTATTTCTTTAAAAAAATTATTAAATGCAATTTTAAAAAAATGAAAATTTAAGAATTTTACTTAAAAATGAATTATTATTTTATGATGTGTTGACTTCTTTCTAAAGCCATTTTTAGATTATAAATTCCTACACTGCTTATTTTATTATAGCTTAAATTTAAATAAATAAAAAATTTAATGAATTATTTAAAGAACTTAAAAATATTTAATTATAGATATGAATTAAATTTTTTTTTTATTTTAATAAAATAAAATTATTAAAAAATACGATAAATTAAGATATAATTCAGTAATATTTTGGCATTTTTCCAGAGTATTTGAAATGCTTTGAGCACCTTCTTCTTATATTTGATTATGGCTAAATAAAAGATATATTTAATTCATACCAGTAAATGTATAGGTGAAATTTTAAATTAAGTTAACAAAATAATATTTCGTTTTTTAATTATTTTCTCATTTAAATTAAAAAAAATTAACCTCAAATCAAGAGTTAAATTAGTAATCTTTTAACATTTTTCAATAGCAATCGCGATCTTCTAAGCTCCTCTAGTTGTGATTTTATTATAGCTTTATAATTATTTTTAATTAATATAAATATTAATAAAATCAAATAAAGGTACAAAAATATTTTAAATAGTAAAAAAACTAAAATAATTAATTAAATATAATAATTTTTTATTTAATTACCACAAATTAAGTCTTAGTTAAGTAATTTTTTAACATTTCACAAAAGCTCTTGAGATATAATAAGCATCTTCATCATTAATTATATCAAGATAACTAAAAAAATAATATTTAAAATATTTTGAAATTAAAATAAAACTTATTTTTTCTAAATTAATATCGAAGTTAAGGTTAAAATTTATAAAAAAAGTTATCATATTTTTTAACTTTTAGGGGGGTTAAAGCAGGGACCAATATATAAAACAAAAAATATCATTCATTTTTATTTTAAGGGTTTCAAATAATTAATTTTTATTGTTTTTTCTTGTATCCTCCTTAATTTAGAAAATTGGTGTGATTTTTAGTTGGTATAATTTTTTATGTATCTAATAAATCAAAAAGTTAAGTTAAATAATAAAAAAATACTTAAAATTAAGTTCAAGCCTAGTAATATTTTATAATTTTTCTATTTAACCAGAGAGTTTCTTAACTTTATTCAAATCCCTATGACTTTTAAAAAAATTATATAAAAACTAAAGTAGAATAAACAACTTGAGCAGCAAATTAAAATATTAATTAGCAAAATATATTTCTTATTTAAAAAAAAAATTATCAAAAAAGCTTGAGTATAAAATTACTTGAATCTAAGAGATAGTTTAGTAAGATTTTAACATTTTTACAACACTTTGCAAGTATCTTGATTGAGACAATTGAAACGTGTATTACTATTTATAAGATAATTAAACTTTTAATAATAAAAATTACTTTTCAACAGAGTTGGAAAATTTTGATATCAATAAAATGAATGAAAATTAAATATTGAATTTCAAGTATCAATTAATTAGTTTCTATTTTTCTATTCATTTTTTTAGTATTGAAGCTTTTGATTCCCAACACTGCTTTTCAATCATAATTAATCAATCAAATAATTAATTAATTAATTAATTTATTTATTTTATTAATTTAAAAAATAAAAATGAAAACGAAGAAAGTTACTCATATTCAAGATTTAATTCACTAATATTTTCACTATTTACCAAAGAACATACAGAAGTATTAGAAATTTCACTTTATTTTTTTAGTTGACTAATATTTTTTTGTACAAGGTAAAAAAATAAAATAAATAAATTTGCATAGTTTTTTTTAATTTAAATGCTTAAATCAAATAAAATTGCAGTTTAAAATTACTTTAAAATTAATTTCAACTTGTTAATTCTTTCACACTTTTCCAACGCATCCATAATACTGATTATACCTTCAGATATTATTTTATTGCCTCTTTAAAAATATTTGATTTATATTTATCTTTAAAAAATTAAACAATAATTCAAAGTATTACTAAAGATCGAGATATAAAAGTGTGAGATTTTTACATTTAGTCAAAGAATTAGCAATACTCTTAACTCCTTAAGCAGAAATTTTATTTTTCCTAAAAAATAATTTTTAAAACTAATTACAAAAACTTTTATAATAAAAAAACCAATTTAAGAAACTACTTTAAATTGAGAATTATTTCAGTGAGACTTTGACAACTTTACAAGAAATTTGCCATTAATTAAATGTGTTTATTTCCAAGATTATTATGTTCCAAATTAAGTTATAGTTTCTATAGATTTTTACATCTTTTTAGAGAATTTGTAATATTCTAAACTTACTCAAGATTGATTGTATTACCACTAAATAAAATTTTATTTAAACTTAGAAGTAGAAAAGAAATCAGTTCATTAAAATAATTAAGAAACAAATTATTTTTTACAAGATAAATAAATTTTACCTCAAATCAAGAATAAATTAAGTAATATTAAGGGACTGTTAATTAGTATTTTCAATATTCAAAGATACATTCACATCAATTTTATTTTTACTTAAAATATTTTAATTTTATCCTCTTTTTATAAATTTTAAAAAATATATTTCATAACAAAGATTCAAAAAAATTTATTTATTTTTACTTAAAAAAATTATAAATAAAATTACTAAAAATTAAGACTTAAATGAGTAACTTTTTAACATTTAAATATAATGTTAATAACACTGTTGAGTTCTTCACTATTGATTTTATTATTTCTAAAAATGGAATAAAGTTGTTAGCAAATATATTTAAATTTTGAGATAAAAAATTCTTATTAAATTAATTTTAATTATATAAAAATATTTTATTTCAAATTAATCAAATAAATTTTATGAAATCAATTACGAAAAATCAATATTTAAACCAGTGATTTTATAAAATTTTTTCAAAATATTCTTAGCTCCTTCACTTGAAATTTTATTAGACCTAACAAAATTAATTTCGATTTTAATAAGGTTTCAAAGTCATTCAAATATTTAAATCAGAAATTTAAAAAAAATAATTTTCATTAAAAAAATAGATAAATTTTAATTAAAAATACTTTAAAACAAGTTTTAAATCAGCCATGTTTTCACATTTTTCCAAACTCCTAGCTAAAATATTTGCTCCTTCATCTTTAATATTATTGTGACTAATTAAATTAAAAAAAAATAAATACGAAAAAATTTGCAAATAAAAATAAGAAATAATTTTAATGAAAATTACGCTAAATCTATGCTTAACTAGTTAATATTATTGTAATATTTGAAAGCTCCTGCAATATAACGAGTACCATCTATACCAATTTAATTACCACTATTTATAAAAAAATAGTAAATATTTATGATTAAAAAGCATAATGTTTGAAAAAAGATAGCTGAAAAAATATTTATTCATCAAATTAATAGGATTTTTAAATATAAAAAAATTCAAATGTTATAAGAAACTTACCTTAAATCAAGATGTAACTAAGAAAGCATTTAGAATATTTCATGATAACCAAGAATTTTATTGTCATCTAAAAGATATCTATACAAAATCAAACTGTATTTTTAAAATATTTAGAAAATAAAAACATATTGATTGACAAAAAATAAAGAAAAATAGTAAACAATCAAATTATTTTTTTAAAGGAAATATGAAAAAATTAAAATTTTAGAAAATAACCTTAAAGAAGATGTGATAATATTTTTGCAATTTAATAAAATATCTTCAATGCATTAAACCATTTTATCTTAATATTTACTGAAATAAGAAAAGTGTTTAAATAAATAATTTATTATGTAAAATGTTAAATTACCTTAAATTAATTTTATATTAATGAACCTTTCTAAAGAGTTTATTAATGTTTGAAATATACTTAGCTTCTTAAATACGAATTTTGTTTGAACTATGCATAAATAATTAATTTAAATTGAATAAATTTATAATAATAAAATAGTTTTATTATATAAACAAGCATTAAGATTTATAAGCTTAAATTAAAAGAATAAGATAAATTGAGAATTAATTAAGTTATTTCTTCTAATTTTTACAAACTTTTTGAAATAATTTTAGTTATATCATCAGTTAACGAGATATCACTAATAGATTTATTTTTTAAATATTTGTAAAATTAAAAAAAAATTATTAAAAATCTATAAAAAATATCTTTAAAATAATTTAATGATTTCTACCTTAAGCAAAGATTTAATTAAGAGGCATTTTAGTACTTTGCTAAAGTATTTGTAATCTATTAAGCTCCCTCCTTAAAACTCTTTTTTCCTCTATTAGATTTTATTTTTTAAAGATGTTCAAAAAATAAAGAAAAAATAAGGGATAAATTGTAAGAAAATTACTATAAGTATAGATCAATTTGGAACGTGTTTACAGATATTTCTAAAGAACTCATAACAGTTTCAAAATCAAAAATTTTGCATGAACTAAAGAAAAAATCAAAATTGTTAATTTTAATTATTATTATTTTTAAATGTTAAATAATAAAAATGAGAAATATTATTAATAATTATTTATTTTACTTTAATTTGTGCTTAAATTTGATATTACTTTTGAACTTATGAAACATATTTTTAATAACTGTGGCTGCCTCTGAACATATTTTATTGAAACTTTTTTAATATTTTAAATAATTTAAATAAAAGTATACAGAAATTAAATTTATAAAATTTATTAAAATTAATGAAGAATTTATTTTGTAATAAATAAATTACTCTAAATAAAGATCTAATTATTCCATTTCAATGTTTTGCTTTTATTTAATTTCTTTAATTTAACATATTTATTAGCTCTCTTTATTTTACCTAAAAAAATATTGAATAAAATATAAATCAAAATATTAATTAATTAATTAACTAGCAAATTAATTTACTTCAAGCTAAGGCTATGTAAGTAAACGTTAATTTATTCGCCATTTTGAAAACATTAATCTTCATTAAATTATTAGCTACCTTGAACACTTATTTTAATTTATTTTTATAAAAAATGTAAGGTTAACTAATTAAGGTTTTATATGAATAACGTTTCGAGAAAAAAAATATAAGGGAGTACCTTAATATTTGAGTTTTTATAATAAGTAAATAGTGATTACTTAATTTAGAAAAAATTATTTCTTTATATTAATTACATTAGATTAAGATTGAATTGACTTTATTATTTTGTTTATAAATATTGAGCAATATTTTGAGCTGTAGTAGTTAAAATATTTGGCCAACTATTTATATTTTAAATAATTATTTTTGATTATTTATTTAATAGCATGCAAATTAATATTTTTAAAGTCAACAAAATAACTGTGAATTAAGAACTTAAAAAGTATATTACTTTATCTAAATTTCTGGTAGAGTAATCTATTT